TAAACCAAAGCGACAAAAAAATTATAATGCAGAAACTTTTCAGGCTGCTCTGCAAACCATTATAGATGGAGAAACTATATCAACTGCAGCAAAACAATTTAATGTTCCACGTACAACGTTGATTGATAAATTACGGGGAAAACATCAAACACATTCTATAGGTGGTAAAACAATTTTCTTTAAAAATCAAGAAGAAACTCTTGTTCAAAGGCTGCTTTATATGGCTGATAGAGGGTTTCCTCTCACAATAATGTGGTTAAGATCTGCTTCTTATTTCTATGCCAAAAACTTGTGTAGACGTCATTTATTACAGAAGTCCATTCCAAAAAGTTGGCATAATAAATGTTTGGCATCACGTAATTGGTTTCTCTCATTCCGAAAAAGGCATACTCAGTTGACACTAAGAATTACTGAAGGGCTTTCTCGAGCAAGAGCAGAAGCATTAAATGAAAATCGCGTTCAGACATTTTTTTAACGATTTACAACCTTTTTATGAACAGCTTGACATAAAAAATTATCCAAATTTGATTTATAACTGTGATGAAACTGGCCTTTCATCTGTGCCAAATGTCTCTGTTAAGGTAATAGCATTAAAGGGTTCTCATGAGGTACAAAAGTTAACTATTGGTAAACGTGGCACACTAACAACATACCTGGCCACTGTTAATGCAGCAGGAGACAGCTTACCACCATTTTTCATATTTAAGGGAACAAAGATTCCAGATGCATCTAAATTTCCTTTGGGTACAAAAGTGCATTGTAGTCAAAGTGGATATATTGATCAAGAGATTTTTATTGCTTATTTACATCATTTTAATGAGTTTTGTACAAAAGTGAATGGGAAAAAAGTATTGTTACTTTTGGATGGCCACAAAAGTCATGTGACTATTGAAGCGATTGAATTAGCAATAAAGATGGATATTGAAATAATATGCATTCCACCTCATAGTACACATTGCCTTCAACCACTTGACACACATGTTAATAAAGTAGTTAAACATATGTGGTCTGAAGCCTTGTCTAATTACTTAGCTGAAAATGATGATATTTCTTTGCCACGTTGCAACTTTCACATTATTTTTAACAAAATATGGCCAAATATACTTACAAAAAGAGGATTGATTGTTAATGCGTTTTACCATTGTGGTTTGCATCCCCTAAGAAACCCAGTAAAAGATTTCGAATATAAAAAAGCAGAGGTTTTTAATAAAGCAACAATTCACCAGGGAGACCAAAATTTATCTATTTTAAGGACTATTATACCTTCTCCTGAAAAAAAAAGGAAACCTACTCATTCAAAACGCCACATTGCTCTTATTACATCACCAGGTAATGTTAAGTTAATAAAAGAGCCTCCTGCTAAAAAGGCTGCAATAAAAAATGTGGTCAGTGTTAAACAGAAGTCAAAAAAGGATCACGATAAATCAGTTAAAATCAAATCAAAAAAGACTTTTTTTTCAGCTGATTCTGATCACCCAAGTTCTTCAAGTTTTATTCTAAAAAATAACACTGATAAAGACTTTTGTTGTGTTTGTGCAGCTGTTTGGGCAGAAGCAAGTGAAGATTGGCTTAAATGTTTAAATTGCAAATCAAGTGGGCATGCGAAGGATGTTTTGGAGTTGATACATGTGCAAATTGTGTGCAATGAACATATAAACGTCTTGTAAATTTTTAAATAGTCATAGTAGTGATATGATTTTTGTTATTTAAATAGTCATAGTAGTGATATGATTTTTTGTTGCTTTAACGTGCTATTTTTTGCGCTAGCGCGGTTATACGGTTTTCATTTATGCCAAAATCATTATTTGATATTTTCTTGGAAAAAGTTTAACAATTGATGTCCTTTTAGATGTCCTTTTTGATGTCCTTTTTGATGTCCTTTTACCCTAGGCCACTGCAGTCGAGGAGGCAACTTTAGTTGTGTTTACAACCCTCTCTCAACTCTATAACTCCGAAACACTAACCTTGACGATCAAGGTTCGTGTTTCGGAGTTATAGAGTTGAGAGAAAAACAAGTTGAGCGCAGTACTACCAGGGACGAATGGGGGGGGGGGGGGGAATCGAACTCGCAACTTCTAGGTTTACTTCTAGATTAGGGAAATCATCCTACTGTGACCTCAAAAATGTTTTATGTCAAAGTTTTTTTCTCCTAGGTAAGTTGCCTTTACCACTAGAAAGGAATTTCGTCTATCGCCCGAGTCACGAATTTTTAAATTAGTTTAGCTGTACTGACGAATTCGCCCTGTAATTGACGAATTCGCCCCTCATGACTTGATGATGAAAAAATCAAATTATACGCTAAAGTAACTTTAGAATTCATTTTGATTCAATACATTAACAAAATAGAGACCCTAATTAATAAAAAAAAGTTTTTAAACTAGAAATATAGTCCATAGAATAGAAGTTAAAAAAAATTATTTGACAGCGAATTAATGGTAAAAGAAATTGAGGACGCTTTTTCATCTTTAAAAATAGTATATATATATATATATATATATATATATATATATATATATATATATATATATATATATATATATATATATATATATATATATATATATATATAGCATAGGAAGAACTCATGTAATGTGAACCCCAATCACAACTTTGTCGGCGAACATTAGTTAGGTGACCTAACTAACAATATGTATTGCACCCTCAACATTGTGTGCAATCCTGTCTGCTTACTCTATGTTATCTTTCTAGCTCGACTACTTCTATCTTTCACTCTAACATATCTTCGTTCTTTCCAAACTCACCTTACTCTCGCTCTGTAGAGCGGGTATGACGCTCCTTCGGGAGCTCAACTAGTCTTTGAGGACCCTGGTAAAGTGACCTCTATATGGCAATTAGGTGGAGGAGGTTAAACCACAATACCAAAAAAAATTTTTTATTAATTTAATTAAACTTAATAGAAAAAAATTTACTTATTTATATAAGACTATAACTTTTACTATTTTATTATTTAAATGGTATTTTTATTAATGTTTATTACTATTTACATTATTGTTTCTATGTTTGATTACCTGTTTTACTTCTATAAAGCTAGACTCAAGTGACACATTTTTGACTACATAATATATTATATGTATCTAATTTAAAAATTAAATAAATAGTTTTTCAAAATATGATAAAAAATGTAAACAGATAAATAAGTGGGACCCATGTGGTTCCCACATATGATGCCCATATGGGCTGCCCACTTGGGCCCCAATTCACGCCCAGCGACAATTTTCCTTGGGTGGGTTGTGGCAACCCATTTGGACCCCATAAAGCTGCCCACTTGGACCCCATGTGTGGCCCAATACGACTTGTTGGCTGGGATATTAGATTGCATTTATTTTATAAATCAATATTATAACAAACTATTTGAACAAAATACCTGGCAGTTAAACTTATTGATACCTGTAAGACTTAAAAAACAACAATTTTGATTTAAAAACACATGCGTGTTTTGAAAAATTAAAATAAGAGAACTAGATTTTAAATTTCATTAAAATTTTGTTGCTCTTAAGAATAAGCAATGTAAACTTTAGAACTCATTTTTTGAACTGTTCCGGTAGATAAAAAAATGCATTAGCAAAAAAATCTCATTACCAAAAAAGGCCAACAAAAAATTGTCTACTCTTAGCACAACAATAAGAAAATAATTACATATTTATTATACAATTTCACTGTTAACACAATATTACATATTTATTATATAATTTCATTATTAACATGCATCTGGCACATGCAAGGTGAGAAATCTTTTTATCTCGTTTGTATTCTGTCAACTTTTCTATAAATAAAAATTATCGTACCTAAGTTGAATATAGCATTATTATTATATGTATCTAATTTAAAAATTAAATAAACAGTTTTTCAAAATATGATAAAAAATGTAAACAGATAAATAAGTGGGACCCATGTGGTTCTACTAGGAACCACATGGGTCCTATTGTAAAAATCATACCCGCTCTACAGAGCGAGAGTAAGGTGAGTTTGGAAAGAACGAAGATATGTTAGAGTGAAAGATAGAAGTAGTCGAGCTAGACAGATAACATAGAGTAAGCAGACAGGATTACACACAATGTTGAGGGTGCAATACATACTGTTAGTTAGGTCACCTAACTAATGTTCGCCGACAAAGTTGTGATTGGGGTTCACATTACATGAGCTCTTCCTATGCTATATTCAAGAGTCTCAACTAAATTTTATTAAAATGTATTTTGTTGCTCTTAAGAATAAGCAATGTAAACTTTAGAAATTTTTTGAACGTTTTACTTTTTTAAAAATTTTCCACAGTTTTATTCTCGTAACTACAAAAAAAGAGTGGTTAAAAAAACCTGAATTAATAACAATTTTACCTAAATATCTCTAAAAAAAATCAGTGTCATTCCTAGTCGTCAAAATTGTCACCTTATTATTACAAATTTGGGTAGTTATTTGCTAATTGATTTCTCATCTGCTACTTTGTATAGAAAGATAAAAATATTTTTAAAGCATTACAACCGTCTGGAATTCTGATTCTACTAAACTAATTAGTCATAGTTATACTAACTAAATTATACTAACTAGTTATACTAAAATCTGTACCATTCCATTTATGCATATCTTGTATGCATCTTGCAGATATCTGCAGGTATAATTTTATTCCGAAAGAAAAATCTATTTTCTCATTTAACTTTTTTGTGCAAAAATCTAAAATTTAAAATCTCTATAAAAAAAATTTAACTAGTTTTCTAGACACGTTTTTTAACTTTTAATTTTTTAATTAAAGTAAAATATAGTTAATAACATTAGATTATTTTAAACACCTGATAATTACATAAATGTAACAAAAGATATTTTTTAATTAATTACACGGTACATATACCGTTAGTTACAGGATACATTTATTATAGTATAATAATTATAACTAACAACAGGCTATGTACACTATGTTTAAAGCCTTAAAAGTTACTTATAGCTATTTTTATTTGCGTAGCTACGAGTTAAATCTAAACATAACAAACCTTTTATATCTTCTATACATCAAAACAACTACAATAGTTACCATAACCAAAGAAACACCGGCGCTAACTCCTACGGCTATTATAATAATGCTATTGTTCCCAAGGTACGCGTTGACTTTATTCGAATCCATGAACTCAACAAATTGAGTTTTTGTTAGTTAAGATCAGGGATTAAGAACTATGTACAAATTAATTAAGTATAACAAATAAATAATTTTGTTGTTTATCTTATTACTACTTTGTTTGAACATTTGCTTTATGTCAACATTTGCTTTTTTAAAGAAGTTGAGCTTTCAACTGTTTAATAATTTATATTTAACATTACGGAGTAATGATTTAATATAAATTATTAAGATAAATTATAAGATTTTTTATAATTTTAAACAAAAGTCTAAAAAAAAAAAAAATTTCATCTAGTTCTCTAGATATTTCGTCTTCAGAGATTTGAATCTAGAGGGTACCCAGAATTGTCCAACGTTCACCCATTTCATTTTAACAACTATAGATAAATATCTTTAAAAAATTGAAAAAACCAAACTTAGACTTATAGTATTCAAATAAACTTAGACTTATAGTATTCAAATAAACTTAGACTTATAGTATTCAAATAAACTTAGACTTATTCAAATAAAGATATCTAAAACTAAAGCTCTAGTTGAACCAAGAGGTTTGCAAGTTCGTCGCCCAATAAGCGATGTTGGTAAAGAAGGAGGCGTGAACTTTCAGGTTATATATTCATCCGCGTTGTACTGTGATAAGACCGATTGGTCTTTTCACAGCACTTTAATATCCCCCCCAAAAAAAAAAAAAAACATCATTTTATATATGTATATACACGGGCGTTTACAAGCACTGTTTAGGTACCCATGCATAAGAAAATACAAAAAACTTTTAAACTTTTAAAATGGCTACGGTTCTTAACAACAGATAATATTTTATTTGGTAACTGTTCATTTATTGATTTCTGAAAACTCAATGTTGTAGCCTTATTTGTAATGTAGATCAGTACGTGAATACAAAAATTTCACAAAAATATAAATAAAAAAGGGTAAAAAGAATCTTAGCGGGCTTAAACTTTATTTTCAGTTAATACCTTTTTAGTGTAAATCAAAGGTTTGTTTATTTATTTAAAATCAATCTTCTAAAAATCTGACTGTAGGATTTCAATATATATATTTTTTAACTTCATATAAGAATGTTTTATATTTATGAGTTTTCTAGTCATTGCTTCAAAATTTTTTTCGATGTAAAAATTTGTTTTTACTGTTATGACTATTTATACTTATGATTATTTATTTTTAATTATTTTTTTATTATATATATATGTATATATATATATATATATAATATATATATATATATATATATATATATATATATATATATATATATATATATATATATATATATATACATGCATAAAAATAAAAATGAATTCGACATTCGATGTGGCATAAAATTAAATTCAACAAATTGGAAACGTTGCTAAGAATACCAAGAATATATATGGTGGTTATTGTCGCTAAGGGTGATTTATAGGCAGGTAAATTGTAAACAAATCTAATGGGACTTAATCTATGTATATTTTATAATTAGGAAGATAACATATAATTCAGGTAGATTTTGTTTTCAGCTTAACTTCCAATAGTAATTAAAACTTTGATATCTTATATCGAAAAGTATGACTATTCGAATATATACGAATTTCGAATTATTAATTCGAATCAAATTTGGACGTTAGTGTATATACATACACAGTTTAAATGCATATATTTGCATATTTATTTAGGAAAGTTATTAGTATTCTTATGCATTTTTTACTTTTTTGTTACAATATTTAACACATTTAATAACACAACAAATTTAGTATAATAAAGTATTTAATCATTAAAGTTTTGACATCGACTATTCAAACGATAAAAAAGTTGCTATACTAGTCAATAGTGATTAGCAATTGTGTCTACTATTTTTAGACTTCACCTTACAGCAGTGTTTTAGAAATATTTATTTTTTATCAATATTTAGGCTGGGAAGTTTAAAATTGATAATAAAGGTAAGTTTAGAAAAATAAGGGAAACCAATCAGGGTTGCTGTCCCGGGTGGCGTTAAAACTCTCGACACCCCTGTATACATACATACATACATACATACATACATACATACATACATACATACATACATACATACATACATGCATACATACATACATACATACATACATACATATATCATATGCCTAAATTAAATGCTTATATTAGGAAAAAAATTTAAAAGCTGATTTTTTGTGTTAAAATATATTAACATAAATAAGTATTGAATGGAAGATACTATCTAAGTGTTATGAGCGTTTTTAAACACTATAACAATTTCCAAATTGATTGTTATTTTGGTTAATTATTTTTCTTTCTACATGATCCTTCCTCGCAATCAGCTATATTCTACCGTCTACCTATTTTTATTTACCTATATTATTGCATACTCCTTTGGCAGGAATTCTTTT